CTTGTATTTGTGTGACGTGAAGGGAAAACAAAACAGAGGATTCTTTTTCTTTTATTGAGAATAATATAAACTCCAAAAAAGCAGAGCTCCATAATAGCTGGAGCAGATAGTTTAGTAGATAAAAAAGAAAAGAACTGTACAACAGAAAACTTCTGCATTTTTGATTTTCTGAGGTTTCTTTAAGAAGATGCAATTCAAATAACATGCTACATATTTTGAAGTATTGTACAACGTTTAAACTATAAAATGTAAGAAAAATAATACTGAAGAAAAACATTAGACTTGAGAGAATGAGGGAAGAGCAAACTCATCATCTTCATCTTCAGAATGATGAACGTTATTGCGGGTATTGCCATTGGTACGACGTTGGACAGGTCTTTCAGGTGAAAATGGATCATCTTCATCTTCATCTGAATTGGCATTGGTGCTAAAACTAGACCTATTGGCAGTAGTTGTTATGAGCACACGATTAGTTGTGACCTGGTGTCGATCGGCTGAGTTATTTCCTCCCCAATTCTGAGAACAGGACAAGTGAATTAATAGTTATTCTTTATCTATCATTTTCACAGTAAAACAACCCAAAATATTACCTTTCTGAATTTTTTAAAATTTTTCACTGAAGAATTAGTGCTTTTAGAATTGTCTAATTTTGGGGATTCTCTTGGCCTAATTAAAAGAGGAACAAGAACAACCTTTGCTTGAAGTCTGATACAAATTTCATCCTCATCATTTTGTTCTTGATCTGATTCCTCCTGAAAAATAAAAATATTAAAATACATAGTTATAATTAGAAACAAATGAATTTTAAGAGTTATAAAGTAGTCAAATTTTATAGTCAGATCTTGTTACAGTACCTTTTTGATACGTTTAATATCAGTTTTAGATATAAAATTATTGGTTTTGATGTGTGGGGCAACTGTTGATCCATGTACATTGGTGATATCAACACATCCATTGGTAGGCCGCTTCGGAGGGGGAACTTCAGATTCAGAGTCATTTCTTCCCTTTCTTTTTGCTGAATGTGATGTAGAAGCCCCACAAGTTGACTCCAGACTTTGAAACATGTCATCACTTTGATTAAGAGCAGAAGAATTTGCTGATTTATTGGCCCTTTTAGAATTCAGAGATAGTTTTCTGGGAGAGGGTAAATCGAAGTCATCATCTTCAATATTATTTTTAGAAACTTGGGTTGGAGGTGGTTCTGGTAAATCAAACATATCATCTGTAACTTCTGACTTCTTAGGCTTCTTTCTCTTCGGGGGAGATGGGAGGAAGAAGTCGTCATCATCATCATCATCTCTACTATGAGCTTGTATCTTTTCCACCTTTGAACGGGGTGTATTTGTAACACAAATACTAACGTTGCTCATACTTGGTTCAGGTACAATTGTAGCACCAACACTAATATTACTCAAACTCGGTTCCGTAGCATCATCAGCAAACAAGTCTTCGTCTTCTTGACTTTTGGGTTCACTTTTAACAGATTTTGACCTTTGACCACTGACGTTTTCAGAATTCTCTTCACTGTACCTACTCCTGGACACAGAAATGTTTATCCTTAAATTAATTTTAAACAGACATAACTAAAATAAGATAATTGTAGTGATAAGTTCACCTTTTACGAGATGGGCCAGGAGCAGGTTCAGATGTTTCAACTTTTCTTTGAGCTACAGGTCTAACACTGAGGGATTGAGTTGTATTGTCAGTTGAATACATATTATCAGAACATGACGGTGGTATTACCTGCAGCAACATAAAACTGCAATTTTTAGAAAGAAAACTTACAAGGTAGAACATCACACATTACAATAGGCCAAAATACCATACCAGAGATTGGTCTGTTTCAGTTTGTCCTGTGGATGCACCACGCACATCCTCTGTATCTTGAACTAAGGTTGCGCCAGTGTCTGGTTGTGAGGGAGTTTCCAATGGATTGCGTAAAATCTGACTGGAAGAAAAAGCAGGATTGCAGTACTTCTCTGTGGATACTTTCCAAAGAGCAAGTCCAATGTCTTCTTCTGGAACGGCATGCCTTCTACTCTCTGATACTTTATCTGGGTGGGGAAAAGGCAATATGAATTTTAGTTTACCTATTCTGTATGCTTGTTTATGTTAATTTTTTTTAAATCTGAAATAAAATCACACAAGCCAGAAACATTATATTCAATTACACACCAGGTTAGCTCTTGGCTCTTTATCATTACACACTCAATTCTAAATAATTGGGAATAATTTTCTCTCAACCCGAACACTGCCAACATTTAATTTTTCCTGTGTGCTTTCCCTCATGTACATTAAATTTAGCCAGCCATAAATGAGAACCTGTGCAGAGCCCGGTATGTAACTGTTTAGAAATTTCAATTAGTGAGAGTATGAACTTACTTAAAACTTGTTTGTAAAGGGCTGTTTCCTCTGAGCTATCAGGACATTTCAAAAGTACAACATTTGGTTTGCAATAATCTTCTCTAGGTAGTTTGCAGTCAGAAAGCTTAATTGCTTTTCCTCCTGTAGAAAATGAAAAGATTGATTAACAAATAAGATTTACACTGATAAATTTAGTTAACTATATTTCTTAATGCATTTTCAGTAAAACACATGATATGCTTGCCTGCCAGTTCTATTATTGTTTTTAATATTTCAAAATTTTTAGAGTAAGGAATGATAAAAAGTTTGTCTTTGAAGAGAGATTTTCGAGCTGCATTTGGAAGGCATAAATTTTCTCTTCCTGACAATTCAGAATCGTGAATTGTAGGAATAAATTTAGCAGGATCTGCAAGTGCTCCTTTTCCAGCCAACATTAAGGTGTAATGCTCCCAGAACAATGGAGTAACTATAGGTTTAGCAGATGCTAAGGTGCACATGATCTAAAAAAAATAAAAATCATAAGATGACAAACTATCTCAGCAAGAAAAACTAGTGGGAATTACATGAGCAATGCTGCTGGAATACCTCATGAGTAAGATGGAGAGTGTTTGTGCAGAGATGGGTGATATCTTTTGTCCACTTTCCGGCATATTTACCTCCACTTTTAGAAACTGCTGATATAATTTTCTTTAGTTCAGGAGGTTTCAGCATGTGCCCATACACAAGAGGTACTTCTCGTTTTAAACTGGAAACATAAAATAATAAAGTAATAGCAGAGACAAGGACAATTTAATACAATTTGGTAGGAAATCTGAAGTCAATAAAACAATTAATTTTTTTGAAAACTTACGTCCAAATATTATCTTGAAGTCCAAAGCGCACCGTGTCACCCTCCCGCAGAGTATATTTTTTCTCTTTTTCTAGTCTAACATTTGATTTGATACCATCATTAACGAAACTACCATATTTAGAATTGTCATCCCAGACATATATGCCATCCTGAACAAGCAGTCAAATCATTTCAATTACATGCACTAGTAATGTTACATAAATTAAATTGGACAGAAACTTACTGTGACTGGATATTTCACTTCAAGAAAGGCATGTTTTCGACTAACTGATTGATCATTGGCCAAGATAATATCACCAACTTTCCGGCTGACAGTGTGGACTTTACCAGGAGTGATGTTGTACGACACTTGGCCTGCAACACACAAAGAAAATGAGATAAACGTAACACAGGATCTTCAGGTTGTAGGAAATATAATTCATATCTTATGATTATTAAAGTGGGCTGAATTCATACCGGTTGATGATACTAAACACCACATGTTAAAAGTCTAAGTCTGTCAGTGCAAAACAACAAAGGATGTCGACGGCCTTCGGCTGTACTTAGAATAGGACTTCTATGAATCTGTAAATCTGTTGCAAAATGCAGATTTAAGAGTCATAACGTTGGGCGCATTGAACAAAGGTTAGAGATTAGAAACACGACAAAATAGAAAAACATAGGCCATGCTACTTGTCGCAACTTGTATTTGTGTGACGTGAAGGGAAAACAAAACACTGTCAATGAAAACAAAGAAGAGCAATCAAGGTAGCCATCACTTTAGAAGGTGAACCAGGGAAGAACGTCCAGGAAATAAACTTAAAAGAATTTTTTCCATCTAAAAAAAATAATTTTAGTACGTTTCAAATAGAAATAGAAAATTTAACATTAAAAGGATAAAATAAAACCGTAGTACTCCTTGTTTTTTTGTGTTTTAGGTTGGTTATTTAGTTGTTGAAAACAGACTATATAGTATGAGAATCTCTCAAACAGCTAGGCAACAGCCACCAACCCACCAACTTTGTCGAAACTGTGCGTGTATATTGAGTTATTTTCGTTATTCTCGTCTCTTGCAGTACTTACAGAGTCCAACGACACCCGAAATACGAAAATAAAAACGAGAGATACCTGATGAAACAGGATTATACGTCTCCTACCTCACAAGTACATTGCATTGTTGACTCGAACTCCAATGTGAACATTAATCTACAGCCGGTGGTGCCTGTGCTTGTGCTTGGCTGCTGCTGCCCTTTTCTGGTTGAACACGCAATATCATCATTACGTACAAATTTCTACGTTTTCCGTAGTTTTTAAGCTTAAATTTTGCTAGTTGAGATGGCGGAGAAAGCCTCAGACGACACCATCATTACCAGAAGTTCTAACTTCACCTGCGGAGTAGTTGAAGGTAAAGCCTCTCAAATTGTATGTTCTATCTTTGTTGTGATATTTCAGGAAAAGACTTAGTTTCGTTCTCTTTTTGAAACGAATGACGTTAGCATTATCGTTTTTCCTTTTGTTTTGTCTCTCCAACGTGCCTCTTAATACAATATTTGTTGTGTTATTTCACTATATTTAATGAGTTTTCATTTACATGATTATGCCCTAACCTGACATAACTTACCATAGCTGTCACTTCCCTTGTCTGATTTGACAGGTTTTTATGGGCGGCCATGGACCACGGAACAACGAAAAGATCTATTTCAAAAGTATGTTGTTGTGCATGCAAATTACTTCCATGTAGTTTTCCAACTTTTTACTTTTTTTAAATTTTGTTTTGTTTGCAAAATAATGTTGTTAATTATTTTAAGACTCATTTCTGATTGTTTTTCATAATCACATTTAGTCGCAGTAACATTTATTAGGATTCAATCCTTAACTTAGACCTATAGTGTTTTTTTTACAAATTACTCGCTCTCATGTTTTGTATTGAGAGAGGCAATGAAGTCTCGTAGTTGATATAGAATCCTTAATTTTCATTTGAGTCAAGGGTCCGTACTCCATACTATCATATAAGATAGCAGTACCTAAATATTTGAAGAAAACAATCAAATATGCTTCATCAATTACTTTTTGTAATAAGAGAAAAACTGCCTTAAAAAAATATATATATGTATAACTACAATATATCTAATGTTCAAAAAGTGAAAACAATTTTAAGTGGGCATTCAATTGCCGAACTGATATCTTCTCCATGCTGTTCTAATGTATCCTTTAACTAAACTTTTTCCTTTTAACAGACTGAAGAAGTGGGGTATGGATTCATATGTTTATGCCCCTAAGGATGATTACAAACATCGTGCATATTGGCGAGAGTTGTATACTGTTGAAGAGGCTGAACATTTAACAGGCCTAATCACAGCTGCAAAAGAAAATGGATTACAGTTCTATTATGCCCTCTCACCTGGCTTGGATATTACTTATTCAAGTGCCAAAGAGGTATTTCTGACTCAATCTTGATATAATTAAAGCATGGAAAATGTTCGTGTGCTAATTATAATTCTTCTGTAGGTTTCTGCTTTAAAGAGAAAACTTGACCAAGTTTCTCAATTTGGATGTTCTGCATTTGCATTGCTGTTTGATGATATAGAACCTGAAATGTCAAGTGCTGATAAAGAAGTTTTTCAGTCTTTTGCTCATGCTCAGGTATGTTTTGTGTGCAATTATATACAATCATGTGCCCTATTTTTTGGACCAAGGCTTTAACTCTGGAAAAATACTTAGTAATGTTTAAATTAGCCTATCTCAGCCAATTTTTGAGGTACTTAAAACCGCTCCAAACAGACTAAATACAGCTAAATGTGTCCAAAATTGGAGCTGTATTAACATTTTCTAGATTTTTAACTTACTGTACGACTGACTTATCTAGTCTTCACTTCTAATGTTTTTTATTTCAGGTTTCTGTTAGTAACGAGGTGTACCAACATCTTAATCAGCCTCGTTTTATGGTTTGCCCTACTGAGTACTGTGCTGCTCGAGCTGTTCCGAATGTGAGCAGCTCAGAATACTTGAACACACTTGGGTCCAAGCTCCTACCTGAAATTGATATCATGTGGACTGGTAAGACATTTATATTTGCTTATCATTCTCAGTTTGCTTTAAACCATATAAACTGTATCAATCTCTCTGCCTCAGGACCGAAAGTAGTTTCCAGAGTCATGACTCTAGAATCGATTGAAGAAATCACAGAAGTAATGAGGAGGCCTCCAGTTTTGTGGGACAACCTTCATGCTAATGATTATGATCAGAAACGAGTATTTTTGGGACCATATTCATGGAGATCTCCAGAACTGATAGCAAAGCTTCGAGGTGTTATGACTAACCCTAACTGTGAGTATGGTCCCAATTTTGTTGGTATCCATACTTTAGCTCAATGGAGTCGGTGCAATCTTGATGGGAAAAGAGATTTGAGCTTGAGTAAGTGGAATCTTTCTTATAAAACTCTGAACTATGTTTTACTGGAAGTTAAATGTAAACCTATACCACACTGTAAAATTGTTATTTTCAGATGATTCAGTTTCTGCTGACATAAAATTGGAAACAGAGACAGAAGATGGTGGAATGGGAGAGGACATTCCCTCTAATTTAACCCCTAATATGTACCATCCAAGACGAGCTCTCCACAATGCCATAAATGACTGGCTTTTTGAGTTTTCACGCCCTAAACAGGCTTGGGGCCCAATCATGAAGCCTCAGCCTGTTATACCTATACCAATACCTGTACCAATCCTTCCATCAATTAACACTTGCATGAGTCTTACAACAACCACAACAACAGCTTCTTGCTCATCTCTCACTCCCCAAACTGTTGCAACATCATCAAACTCTTTTCCAGCTCTCTCCACAGGAATTGAATGTCAGCCACTAAACCCGCCTAACACCTCTCAACTGCAAACGTTGGCTGAAGTCTGTAGTACTGTAAGTTCTCCTGAGATTTTTTTTTTCACCCACAATAATGTGTTTGGTATGTTCCCATCTTTTCCCATTACTAAAGTCAATTCAAATTTTAATTTTTCAGGTTCCTATTGCTACTGAAAACCTTCCACTGATGCCCATCACTGCTCCTGTTATGAACTCTCTGGCATCAGAGAGTAAAATTGTAGCCCTGCCCCCCATGGCCACTCCTCTGCCTCTCCCCATTACGGTCAGTCTGTCCTCTGTCCCCGCTGGATCAATTCCATTACCACTGCCACTTCCCATGCAAGGGGCAAGCACCTGTGAGCCTATGGACTGCAATCCAACGCCCAACGGATCTCCAGCTCACCTCGCAAAGACTGCAGCATCATCTACAGAGGACATTGCAATGGCTGAAAATGGTTCTGGAAATTCTGTATGTATTATTGGCTAACATGAACACCCAATACTGTTATGTTATCTTATGTTCTTAAATATCGGTACTATATTCTCAAACCTTTTGATTTGCCTAATTTTGCAGGGCAATGTTCTGGGTAATGGAAGCAGTACGGCCATGCAAGTTGACTCTACAGATTTTAGTTCTAATTTCCAAGCAACCTCAAGTAATATGGTAGTAGAATCTCCACATGAAAGAGATAGTGAGAGGGGTGAAGACAATGGTTCTGAAAATTTAAATGAAATGTACGTGTAGTGTGTTTTTCTAGCCTATGTACCTCCTTCCCCTATTTTTTTTTAATCTTGGAATTAATTTGGCAGGCCTGAGAAAGCTCCTATGACTTATGAAGATGTAGCCTTGCTTTGTGATCTGTTCTATTTGCCTTTTGAACATGGGAGTGGAGGTACACAAATTTTGCATGACTTCAATTGGTTGAAAACACATGCTCATGTGGTTTGTAGAAATCATCCAAGCAATGGCTGTAGTAGTGATGTGTCTGAAGAAGCCATGAAAAACCCTGAGGTACACAACAATACTCTTTTCTTAATGTTGCTGTTCTGTTGATGAAGTATTATTCATATATTTTAATTAAGTAATTTTCAAATACTTGAAACATTTCTTTCAAGGTTCAAGAATGGTTTGACCGAGCAACAAAGCTTAATGATATGACAAAAGCTGTAAACCAGCTTTTTACAAAATTGACGAACTGTCCCAATAGAGAGCTTCTCCATGAGATCTACCCATATATTTGGGATGCGCGAGGCATCATCTCCACATTAAACTCCTATGTGAAGTGGCTAGGTAAGTACATGGCTTCATTGTTTAAAATCTCCTAGAACCATTGCTCTGTTTCTTTTTAAGAAGTAGTTCTGTTTTCTTGGTTGTAGGGTGTGGAAATTTTCCCCATGTGATTGGCAACTTTACCCTGGGCAACTTCACCTGTAAGAATAAATCAATTGCTTATGTACCTTGTGTATCTTTGAATACTTTGCACAATCACTCTTTGTCTATTTTAACCCAACTCTATCTTGTTTTAGGGTTTTCGAAGGGATGGAAAGAAACATTCATGAGTGGAGAACATGAGCCATGGGTATTTCGTGGAGGACTTATTGCGGACCTGCAGGTATGAGTGCCTACAGAAATATTTGATCAATCAAATTTTTCCAATGTGTATTAGGTTTGGTTTACTGTTACTGCAGTTACTAAAATTTCTTGTTTTGAGAAAACTTCAATTGGTTTACAGCGATTGTTACCCGTTGATTCTTGCACTGACTTATTTTTGTACAAGTCACCTGAGGTGCCCAGTAACAAAGTATATGACATCCGCCCTGCTAATATTTTGACAGATCAGCATCATATCAGATCAGTTTGTCAATCTATGTACTCTTCCTCTTGTGATCTAGATCCATTGCCAGACCTTACTACAGACAGGTAATGAGATTGTGGCTAAGTTTACTTGATTTGCATTTTTTGACCTATGAAATAATCATTTCACTTTTGTACATTTACAGATTTCTTGGTTGTCTTTTGCAAACTGAACAGCTTGTGTGTATGGTCGTTGAAGATGAAGTTGAGGTTGTTGGCTATACCCTAGCTGCACTAAATGCAAAACAGTTTTACACACAAATGAAGACCGACTTTATACCATCAATGCAGACGAAGTATCCTGTTTCAGAGAGCCAATATAACTTGTCAAGTGTCCAACAAGTAAGTGTCCTATTTTCGTCAGCTTGCTAAAACGCTATTTGAGCAAAAAAAATAATCAATTTCTTTTCTGTTGAAACAGGAAAGAATTGGATGGTTCCATTCTTATGATTTGGAAGTTCCTGAGCAAATACTTTCATCTCACCCGGGAACCATTAATTGTGGCATTGTTCCTTCAGTTCAAGACCCCTCTGCTTTAAAAAGACTTGTCGTATGCACACTTACAGCTATGAGAGCAAATGGTAAGTTAACATTGATATTTTCATACATAATTTTTAGTATTTTTGGACTATCTAGCATGCATCAAGTCTGATCAATTTCAAACAAATTTTCCAGGTTGTTTTGGTGTACACACAGCCATTAAATCTAGTGACCTGGTTTCATTAGAGCTCTATAATCGTTTAGGTTTTGTTGATTTAAATCCTGGTTACTCCAGCTTATATGTCATTCTCGGACGCACATTTTGATCTATGTGAAGCAACCAATATTAAAAAAATAAAAATCAGAAAACTGTAAAAATACAATCAATTTTCTAATGTTATTATGAATGTGACCATTTTTTTCTTCAGGAGAATTTGAGAGCTTCAGGAGGGTACTCCCTTCATGTCCTAGTCCACTTTAGATTTGCAATCAGACAACAATGTTCCTCTTCTTTTTACAATGCTTTAGTTTCTGCTATTAGAGTCTGGTCATTGGTAAAGTTGGACATTGAGATTAGTGATTGTATAAGTGTAAATTTTTGTTTTCCGAATTGAATTGGTGAACTGCAGGTCAGACCCATACCATCTGTTTTAGTTTTATTAGTTTACTTCTATCATGAGAGTGTACTGAAATACAGCATTCACAAGCAGGCTGGTCACAATAAACAATCATCTGCTGTTATGACAATGTCCATGGAATGATTTCCCTATCTAATGTTGATCTGTAGTAATCTTTAAATGAAATAAGTGAAAAAGTCTCAGGCAACTGCATCATGTTGTCATGTTGTATTTAGATTATGATGTACTACCATGCATGTCAAAAAATGTTTCTGCAATGCTCATTTGTTTTGGGGATCAATTTATCATTGCTTTCATAAGTGCTGTTAAGTAGGATGCTAGTACGTGTGCATCATGTATGTTGTTCTTTTTTCTTGTGAGGAGACATTATTTTATGTATTGACTGTTTTACTCTTATATTTGTTCAGTGTCTCGTGCTTATCTGTTCAAACTTTTTTGATTTTGCTCGCTAAAGTGAAAGAAAAAGTATAATCTTAAAATTTGAAACGACTTGAATTTGCCATTTTTATATCATACTTTGAAGTGGCAAAATCAATGGTGAATGTATGTTTGTTTTCCTTGTGTACTCTTTCCAGAGCACCAAATAGTTTTTTGTTTGTGTATTGTTGTGGTTGGTCCCCCTTTGGAAATATTTCAACATATCAATATTCAGTCCAGTCCAATATGATTACTGTAATTTTGTGTGATCTGATTAGTGAAAGGAATATGCCTTTTCACGTTTGTGCTGTCTCATATCCCCATGATTCTTTCCCCTTCATTTACTGTTGGGCAGTCTTGTTTCACATTTTTTAATATTATCAAATGCTGGAAATGCACAAGTGTTAAACAAAACTTGAGTTCCATGAGGCTCTCAGGTTCCTTGATGGTTGTTAAAAACTCTGTTTGTCTTGGGAGTGGTAGGTTATTTACTGAAGCTTTGCTAGGTTAATGTGGGCCAGTGCCTGGGAATAAACCTGGTCTAGATGAAAAGTTTAATCCTCTTTGATTAACTCTTTCTGAAATATTTATGACTGATCTGTAAACAGTATTTTCTAAGAATTTGTGATTCTTGATAATGTCTCTACTTCATTAATAATTTTCTATGTAAGTGTTTGATTCTGACTCATTTATTTTCTATATTTTCATATTTGTGTATTTTATTTCCACCATTATTTCTGGGCATAAATACATTTTTTAAATGATGTTTGTTAGAAACTGAAGTTCTGTGCCTGGTTGAAAATACTGTAACTTTTTCCAATAGAGACTAGATACTGTAAATAAAATCCTTTGTTCCTTCTCTCTTGAAAAGCTTTAGTACTGTTTCGTCCATCCAACAGTAGTGCTGTATTTCAACTATCAAGTTGTCAAAGGTTTATTAGGAATCATTATTTATCATTAAAATAAGTGCACCATTATATGGAAAGCCTCAGTGCTTGGACAGCTTTCTGTAAATCTGAAATCTGAAACAGGAGACTTCTATCAAACGGTGTACAATGATGACTAACAGTACTTACGAACTGAGATCCTTGTACTTACCCTTTTCATCTCTTCAGCTAGTAATTTACATTGAGTTGAACTGTCAGTGTTGTTAGATTGAGGAAGGGAAGTACATTTTGATGAGTCAATCTCTTCAAAAGTTAGAAGTATTTGATTGATCTTATCTTGCAAGCCCCTGAAACAGTATATTCACAATTTTTAGCATGTCTCTTTTCAAAATGTTTAACTTGAAAACTTATGTCAAGTTGCTACATTTACATACATGGCTCTGATACAAGATTCCTTTGGCTTTTCATGTCCCCTTTTCTCCAATGATTTGTTCTGAAACTGCCACACACATTTTTTTATTTTTTGTTCAACTACAGTTACAATTAACACAATCTGAAGAATCTTCACAAACATTTTTTTTTCATTAGTGAAAATATTTGATATTTACCATCTGCCAGCCAGACCGTGTCATCATTTTAAGGTGGTTAGAATCAAAATCATAAGGAAATTGTATGCCTGGAAGTGGAATCAAAATGCTTCATCATTGGTGTCTAAAAAGGGGGCACTTTTTCTTAAATTTCAAGTATTTTCTACATTGTTTCCATCTTACCAGACCAGTTGTGGTGTGATGCACTTTCTTTAAGAGCTCTTGCCTCTTGGCGCCACTGCTTTAAAGCCTCCGAGGTTCTGAATATAAACATATTTTTGGGGGTTATTTATTAGTAATTGTTTTTTGTGTGAATTTTTGTACAAAACTATAGTATTTCTCACTTTTGCTTTTGTAGAGCTTGATCTTGGGATTGTAGCACACATTTCAACTGGTTTAGCCACAACTTTTTCAGTAATGTCTTGTATATTTTTGTTGTTGATGGACTTGCAGTACTGCATTAGAGAAAATAAGAGAGAAATGACAAACAAAAAGACCTGCTTATCTTCTTTCAACTATAAGCTTTCCAGCTTACCGCTTTCTATAGCCAAGTGGGAAGGACTGTCCATTCATAATGGCTTGAGCATGTCCTGCTGAAATAATGGGTTGCAAGGATGGACCCTTAATATCTTTCGTGGATGTGTTGGTTTTTAATGTAGGCCCACGATTCTTAAGTTGTTTTGAGTTTCCCTGTCGACACACGTGTGTGGAATAGTAATTTAAATATGCTCTCATTTATTTCATAACCGATTTCTCACCTGTAGAAGAATAAGTTTATTCACAGATTTCTCTTTTAGCTCCTGGGCATTTGGTTTAGATCTTCTCTCCTTTAGCGACTCAAACAAAATTGAGGACTGAGGAACAAATTTCTCTCCATAAAGTGAGAGCGAGGTCTGAGATTGACTTGAATTTGTAGCATCACTTGAAGCTATATTTACGCAATCTTCTCCATCTTTTGTACACTCTTTGAAGAAGTTAGAAACCACTGAGTAGATTTTTTCAAATGTTGATCAATCAAATTACCTTGTTTTTGTGTTATGGAATACATACCATAATCATTTGCTTTGGGAATAATGTCTACTACACCTTGACTGAGTTGTTCCATGTAAGCACCGCGCAAAAATGATAAAATTGTGTCCAGTCCTTTCGACAAAATGGTGATTGGCGGCCAGCTTATTGGATTTCCAGAAAATTGTAGCTTTCTTAATCGAGGAACTTGACCTTTGTGCAATACAGAAAAATCTAATCTAATACAATTATTTCAAGACAATTTACCTGTTTAGTGCCACTTTTTATCCTTACCTAGTTCACATGGTAAAGCTGGTAGCTTATTATTTTGAAGGAGTAGGACTTCTAAACTATCATGGCCTGCAATAGATGTAGGAATTTCGAATAGCTTATTTTCACGAAGGTCAAGATGTCTCAAATTAGGGAGTCCAAGAAAGAAATTAGTGGGAAGTCTCTTAATTAGATTGCTCTGAAGGAAGAGAAACTGTAGGAAACAAATGGAAAAGGTTTATGATAGTTATTCACTTAAAGTTATTGATGTTTCTGTTGTGTTTTTTTTTACAGATTAACAAATGTTAGTATAAACCTGAAGGTGTTGAGGTTTTGTGGCTATATCTAACGAAACCTCTGATAACGACTGATTGCTCAAATCAAGACATAGCTCTCCTTTTGCTTTTTTCTCACATTGCTTGTTTATCACTGTATGATTGCAATCTCCTGCCGCTGCCTCTCCAGGCACTGGGTAATCATTAATCTTTTGAGCCATTGTAGAAACTGATAAGACCACCACACAAATTTTCCTCGGATCGAAGTTCTGGATGCTTTGGTCGTCTACTCTACATCCTCATTGGACATAGTCTTATTCGGTTTCGGACGCACGTTGTCATGACGACGCAAAGTACGTGATGCCTCGCCAAGTTATTAAAAGATTTTCTGCTCAATTTAAATTTATTGAGTTTTGAAAAGTCATTTTTTTGTCGTTCGGTGTAGAAAGAAACAGAAGGGAAGTTGTTGTTTGTGAACATTCCGAGTTGTCGGCTTTTTGCTTGTTATCCCACGCACTTCGTCGCTGGCGCCACCCAGGTCTTCATCCTGTTTCCGGTATTCTTCATTTGTCGATTTCTCATCTCCATGACGGACCAGGACAAAGTTGACGTTTGAGTTGAGGAAGTTGGGTTGGAATATTGTGTTGGCTGTTGGAATTAATTGTGATATATCTTGTTCGAAGATGTTTTCGCAATTTTTACAAATTGCAGCGTTGCTGCTAGTAGTCAACGCAGAATGGAATACCAAAGACTACATGAAACGAGAACATTCTTTAATAAAGCCCTACCAAGGTGAGTAGTTAATGTCACCACAAGGCTTTCGTTTGTCATGGTACTAGCATTAAACCATCGTCATTGATGCACTTTTAGGAGCTGGGATGTCCGTTCCGTTTTGGGATTTCATGGGGACCACTATGGTTACTAGTAACTATGTCCGTATAACACCTGATCTTCAAAGCGCCCAGGGCTCTCTTTGGAACACTGTGGTGAGTACCGGTCCTAGAAAACCGTTCTCCAAATGCTCGAATTAATTTTCTCCTGAAGCTTTACTTGCTAATTTATTTTCATTCTTTATTTCATGGCACCAATACAATTATCCGGGTATTGAATTGTATCTCAGCTGAGTTATTCTTCTGTTTACAGCCGTGTAATGTGCGTAATTGGGAGCTACAAGTACATTTGAAAATTCATGGGAAAGGAAAAGATTTGTTTGGTGATGGAATGGCCATTTGGTATGCCAAAGACAGGATGGTTCCTGGACCTGTATTTGGCAATATGGATTATCATCATGGATTGGCAGTTATAGTCGACACATACAGTAATCACAATGGTCCACACAATGTAAGCCACTAAGTTTTTGTTTCAGTGGTACAATTCCTTGTACAAAAAAAATCTATTCATGGATTAATCTCCTGTACCTTGTTTTCTAGCATCAACATCCGTACATATCAGCCATGGTAAACAATGGAACTTTGCATTACGATCATGACAGAGATGGAACTCACACGCAGCTTGCTGGATGTGAAGCAAAAATGCGTAATGTTGACCATGATACGTATATAGCAATCCGATATGAGCAAGACATTCTATCTGGTAACATTATTTGAGAAAAAAAATGTCTGTTTCTAACAAATTATTTACTGTAATCATATGGTTATTATATCTTTCTTACAGTTTCTACGGATATGGAAAATAAAGCTGCCTGGAAGGAGTGCTTCTCTGTTCGAGGCATCCGTTTACCCACAGGTTATTTCTTTGGCATAACTGCGGCTACTGGAGACCTGACTGATATTCATGATGTATTGTCAGTTCGCCTTTATGAGCTTGATGATCCAAACAATGTGCGTAGTTTGGAAGTAACCAAAACCATTTTAATAGTATTGTTTTTGTTTTTTTGTGATAACAGTTTTAACTTTTTTTCTAGGGTAAAGATAATGAAGATAGGTCTCAAATTATTCCTCAAGCATCATATTTTGAGCCTCCACGTGGTATGTTTCTTAAATTGTTTACCGTGGGCACTGGGGGGTAATAGAAGGAGGATTTGATATCATGTTGTTCTTATTTTGATTTGTGCAGATCATGTCGCTGATCCCAAACCATCCTCTCTGAGTGGGGTGAAAATGTTCTTACTGATGATGGTTGGGGCAATAGCTATCATAGCCTGTGTTGTTTTTAGTATTATGTTTTATCAAAAACATCAAGAAAACACAAGAAAAAGGTTTTATTAAATTTTAACATATATTGTACAATGCTGAAGTTGATGCCTCACTCTCAACTATAACACTGCAGAGGAAACATAAACCTGACATGAATTATTAATTTCCTCAAGACTGAGATGGGCTAGTCCCAATAAGAGTTTATGTGATTGTAATGGTGTGCCCACCTAAAAAGGCTCCTCAGAAGAAAAATCACATTTTAATAAGGATGAGAAGGATAAGTACAAAGTATATGACAGCTTATATCTTGAGGACCAAGTTATTTTGTCTTTCTTCTGAATCTTGATCATATTAATTTTAATACTATTAGATAACAATAACTAAGGAAAAATAGGTGAATCTTTCTCCTTTTTGAGTTATTTGATTTGTTGTTTTTTAGGCAAAACAATGTGAGTTTACTGTATGATTTTATTTCCGTATGAAACTCAGCTCCAAAGTGCTTCTAAACATGCATTCTCCTGTATGCTTAGTTCGTTCTAAGAGTGAAGGAGTGTGTGTGTATGTGTTAGAGAAACCAGGAGCGCCCTTGTTAAGAGGCACTGTTTATCATGCGCCAACTTAAGTACTTCTTTTACTTTTTTTAAAATTCTACCAAACCAGAATGTTTTTGTTTTTATGTCAGAGCTTAATTACGTTCTTAGAATTTAACTTTTCTTTTCAGACCTGTTGTATCACATCAAATTTTCTTTACTTCTTGTTAGGTAGAAACATTTTCTCCTTCTTTGTACCCAATTAAGTTGGGATGATGAATGTATGTGATTGAAGTCCGTTAGTCGGCTAAAATCAAGTAGGCTGGGCGCCAAATGTTCCCTCTTTGCCATACCAGCCTTGGGTGTTCAGGGCGGGCCACCAACTCCACTCAGCTGCCCGGCGGGTATGTCTACCCAGCTCACTGCAGGCGCTACCATTAGCGTCGTCCGGAAATGTCGTTTGTGTGGGGACCTCTCGGGAGACCTTCTCAAAATGGAAGCACATAGTAAGCGGTACAGTGCTCAATCCGGGGCAGGCGCTGATCCCAGAGCGTTCACAGAGAACGCCCGTGCTCTTCGCTCTAGGCCTTACATGCACAGTGCGTTCCGGCCCCCGGACGACTTTTGCGGCGGCCCGCGTTGAATGTTGACTTCAGCTGGGTAAAGTTGACATTTGCCGATTCATGAACTTAAATCGTAACAAGGGTGGTATATTGAAAGAAACTTCATTCAATTTGGTCATCAGTCTTCCTCTTTTTGATAATAAATGACTTAGTCACCAGTTGCTCCATTTCATTTAAGTTCCTTTTCGTCATATTTTTTTGGTGAAGTATCTTTTGAAATGACTAATGTCACTTTCTAATCATGTGTGTTTTACTCTTAACTAAATTTACCGACCGGTCCAATTCTATTGCGTACTACTTTTATCAGCCATTCGCACTATTTTGTTTTTGTTTTCTTTATGTGGGATGCTGGTGGTGGTGATCTGTTTTCTCCTAGTCTTGTTGCACGATTGGTTCTCATCATTGACTTACGCTCATTGGATGTGTTTTATATTTCATTCTACACTGTAATCTGATTAAGACTTTGCTTTCTGCAACAATCTGGAAGATGTGTAAATTTTCCTCAAATTTGCTTGTTTGACCTTAAACTTTTACTCAAAGGCTATGATCATGTTAAGTGCCATTCTCTACTTTTACTCCATTCTTTTAGAATTTTCCATGATGTAAGTTCTGGTATTTGAAATCAAATTATCCCTGTAATAACCTGGCAAGAAAATATTAGATGTGGAATTTAACTGTATGTCTTTGTGTACATCATGTCTCAGTACTTTTTTAATTATACTTCTGCAGAATCAAATTTTAGTCAGATTGTCAATCATATGAACTTTACTGCCAAAAGCAGACAGTGTTTTTAAAAAGATCTCATTCGGATCCCATTTTAAAATGTACCGGTAGTTAAAACATTTGTCAGAATATTAATGGTTGACTGACTGACTCTACTACCCACTATCCCTCCTGTAAGTTGTGATAAATATTCTATTCATTTTGTGTTACGTATCTGAGTGGCAATGTGTGCCAAACTCTGCATGACTGGGCTTTTATTTTGAAGACCACCATGTAGAGGTATTGTATCTTTTTTTTTTTTATTACAGTTTGAATTGTATTGAAAATAATTACTGATTGTTGTGTTGCTCAATGTATTGATGCCAAACCATGTATCAAAAAGATCATTACATGACAATTTTTTTGTTCTTAACAGCAGTACAGAACACGTAAATTTTATTTTATATTAAGCCCACATCTGTTAAGTTGATATCAAGTTTACCGATGCAGTCAGGTCCCTGTTGAAAGGGGGCTGTTTTAATTTTGTGATTTCTTTAAGTAAGTGTAGTAATTGCTACCACGTTTATTTATTTGTTGTGAAATAAATGGAGAAACATTCCAAATGAGTATTAACGTGTTGTGACCACTAGTCTTCTTCGCCAGCGCTCCAGCAGCAGATAGACTTGCCGCTGCAACAGGCACGGGTTGGTTGGACTACGTACAGACGCGTGGGGAGAAGGGAAGGGATCGGGAGCCTCCCCCCC